TCATGTCAAATTCTTCCTCCTTCAAATCTTTGCAGGGTATACCAGTGTAAAATCCAATCACTGCTGTCATTTTACCCTTAACTGTACGGCTCTGGTAAGTGGTGTTCTTCATCTTCAGTGCCACACTTACAACCTTTCCTATGGGTACATCTTCCGGGAGATCAAATGTAAACTTAACGTCTTCAGCTGGTAGTTTATAAATTGCTTGGTCTTTACGGCTGCTGAATTTGTATGCCAGCTCCACCGCACGTCGCTCTGCTATGGAACCTAAGGTAAAGAAAAAACATAATTAGTAAAATCCAGCTAGTGCTCTATTATCAATGCTGCGTTCTGATTAGTTGAGCTACTACTAAGCTATATGTTATAGCCCACTAGTAACAAAAAGCGCCGGCTTTGAAAACCAAGACAACGGCTGAATCTCATTTTACTAGCTAAAGTTGTTTTATCTCGATATTTTTGACCAACCAGTTGGATTTTACTAAAAGAATTGTTCCTCTCGCCCTCATGGCCTCTGAGTCAATAGCCCATACGGCCTTTGGCCTCATGGGCTATTGACTCAGAGCCCATTCAAGCTCGAGAAATAATTGTTGATTATTGCATATGAATCTGAAGCCTGCTGTATATAATGTCCAGTAATGTTGATTTTCTTCTTTCTGTTCTCGATAGCGTTAATTAGAGTGGACACGTTTTTATCTGGTGCCAATGTACGCTTTTAAGAAAATCTAAAGTCGGCCACTCAATTATATGAAAGCATTTGTTAACGCACATGTTTAACTTATTTTTTGTCAATTTATAGGCAATTTCTCCAAAGGATTCAGCATTTCCAATTGACCTGCAATTTTGAAAGTTTCGGCAATACCTTACAAGATTTCTTGAAATAACCACGAGTTTAATAGCCATTCGTGGAAGAAAACTGAGGCGAAATAAAATACCTTTTTGGCGCTACTTCCACGGAAACGAGATAATTAACGGCGGATCGAGCTTCCGTTGGCCCTGGGCGGCGACAATAAGAACACAGACAGTTACAATAAACAAGGTCTCTTTGCTTAAAGCTAATATACCTTCAGGATGTTTGTACTCGTGAGTTATGTCTTCTCTGTCGTCGCTCCCAACCGCTTTAGTGCTGATCAGCTTCCCAATGCATTTCTTATCTACACGAATAGGTTTCATGGGGCCGCCTTCTTCCACTTCCCAAAATACTCGATCACCATTCACCTTAGCGAACACGAAGCTGGTATCATACGGTAAATATACCTCTCCTTGTTTCACGGCTTTCACCGAGGCTGGACCACATCGAAACACTCCTGAAACCGTGTAAATCATTTTCAGCTTTTGAATAATCTGAGATCAGGCTCTTTTTGGTTTTAGCGCAACCACGAAAGAGAGAATGCTAAAAGAATGGGCCTGACCTCAGGTGAGCTTATAGAGATAAGTACGTATTTTTTGAAATATTAATTTTGTTTATTTAGAAATTGTAGCTCTTTCACAAAGAGAAAAACTGACTTCTTGAATAACTTGACAATTTATATGGCAAGTATGAAGGCCTTACTAAATCTGTTTATTCACTGCAATATATAATTGGACATGAGTTGACTTCTAATGTGACTTCAGTACTTAGGGTAAGAAAATAAAGCCATAGGACTGGTGACATGTAACAACAGCGTTGTATAGTGTTTTTCACAGTTGTAAGACATGGATTTGAGTCCCTAAAAACTGAAAAACACGAGAAAGACTTTTCCGCATTTTTAGATGACCTTCAAGTATAAAAGAAATTCTTGCTACATTTGCCACTCTTTTTCTTTCAATAATAGGAAACAAAACTATAAAATATTAATATATCGTTCTCTCTTCTTACCGTGACTAGTTTCTTGGGGCGTGGCATCATGCGCTTGCCACCCATCATGCCCGTCTGGTAAATCGGGGCGCTTGAACCATGACTCGTTCCACACGTGAAAGTTCCTAAAATTAACAGGCCAGGAATCAGAATTCGCATGCCACTCTTCTGTTACACACTGACCAGCCTCATATCTACCGAAACTGACTGAGGGTAAAGACGAGTGAGAGAAGGGGGGAAGACACTAAATCTCGATTATTTTCTCTTGACTAGCTCGTACCTTGCTTCACAGCGCGGCGCTCTTTTCGATAGCCAGGTTTGAGAGAAATTCGACATTGTTTACATTTTACAGTTTTGTATGACGCAGGCTTTTGAGAGGTCAGTGCATATTAATCTAGCTTATTACCAAATAGAGTCGTCCAATTCTTTCAGCGGCTTTCCATCCTCATCAAAATGGAAGTCTATTGTCATGCTGGCATCCGAGTCATGAGCCGAGGCAAAGTTTGTTACTGAGCGAGTTGGTATTCCGAGGGCCCTCAATACTGAAAAAGAAACATTGGTTTGTTGCTGAAAAATTGTGAATGACAGCTATTACCTACGTAAACCTGCATCTTTTATGTCCACGAACAGCAATGGTGGAACACACTCAGTTTAAAATTACTGTGGCATACTGTCGTTGCATTTTACAGTTGAAGGGAATGGAAATCTTTCCCTCCACGAGGCTAAAAGTTTGAGCGGAGTACTAAAGCATTGTAAAAAAGAATTAATTGTTGAAAACGCTGAATAGAGGTAAACTATGATTCATCAGAATAATCAAAAAATGTACTATTTAAACGAGCACTAGATTTTTTTCAGTTAGTTTCTGATAACGCTTTCTTAATTTTGTAATTAACTGCTTTAACTTGGTTTTTGTTGCCTGGGTATATAATTGTCCGCTCCTCTAGCCTGTTCTAGCTAGGCTCCGAGATAGTCGGGTCCGCTGAATTAGAGACCTTTAGATTCTACGACGAGTACGACTACGAGAACGAGATTTTCTCAATACTAAGTAGTGCTCGCGCGAGAACCAGCGTCATTTTGGCGGGAAAATGTGGTAGCCGTCGTCATGCATTCTTCTACGAGTTTTAGCGAGATTGTCGTAGTGGCGGAAACGAGTTATCAAATGTTAGAAGTTTTAGCATTCTGTAATCGGGAGAGAGGTCTTAACCTCCTTCAATAACGATAACAGTGCTTACTTTTCTAGAGAAAAAAAGTACAGTGAAGAATTCCGGGGTGTCTATTTTTTGACAATACGCGAAAAAACTTTAAATCAAATCTCGTACTGGTAGTCGTTCTCGTCCTCGAATTGAAAGGTCTGAGAAGGCGCGAAACACGAAAATAAAACGAAAGGAAACTGGGTCCTAATCCTTTTTTCCGGCCCAGCCAAAGCCCAGCCAACTTTTCTTGTTCCTTTCACTTTCGCGTCTTCCCCGCTATCTGAGGGTTGAACGTAGTTTTGCCTCGTTTTAATTTAGATCCATAAAGCCATTATGGTCAAGAGTCACATTACATGGACCTTTGTCGCTCCTTCTTCGTTTTAAGTTTGACTGCATCAGTGGGGTCATAAAAGAATTAACAGTTTTTTTTATACATACATGTTGTAACAAGTCCTGAAAACACCCAGCACTGTCCATACTTAATATCACACTTCTTCTGCCAAAACTGTTCCAAGATGGCCACACTCCCTGACCAGGATGTTGGAGCCGTCGTGTCTCTGGGATAGTTACCATCCCAGCGACCGTGAAGAACGCCACCGTCTTGGTCATTAAAGTTTGCCTACCATAACAGGAAGAAAAGGCCTTATTTAATTTCACAGAGAATATCTACATCAGCCAAGTACTACTCAAACACAACTTTATTTTTTTTTCCTTAAATACAGTCCACTTGATAACGAAATTTACGAATTTTCCTGGCCTCATGAGAAATAATTCGAGAAACAAGGGCAAAGATCTGGTTAGTTCAGTATGGTTATTTAGTTCAGTTGTATTGAATTTTAGTCACATTTGATAGTTTAATTAAGATCAATTTCAAACGTTACGTCCGGATATTTTCAATTTCAGCCACGCGGAAAAAAAAAAATTCTTTCGGGTTAATTGCAATTGCTTATAAATTTCAATTACCACTGCGACGATCATATCTTCATTTAAAAATGTTTATTATGTCCACACTTTAACAAATAGTTTTTTTCAGTTTCATCTATAAGAAAAAGGCACTTTGGACCGAGTCTTTATTTCGTGGAGATTTTGTCAACTTGGTTCTAATGTTTTCCGTTTACGGTAAACTTGATTCTAAAACTCGGTATTATATCATATCTTTTTAACTATTTTTCTCCTGGATAACTTCATGAGTGGTGAAGATGATGGAAACACATTCTGTGTTCTCATTGGTTACTCAAGAGGGCAAGATGGGCCTTTCTTGCTCGCTCGAGATCGCCCCTTTGTTCTAATTCAACGGAAAAAATTCTTCTTAACATTCAATCAATGCTTACCAAGCTTGATCAATCAAGGTAATTGTCAATTGGCCTCGATATTTCTTACTTTTTTAAATAAACCCGCACTTAATCTCGGTCCATAACACTTCAACATACTGGGCCAATATAGAGCCAAGCACGTCTTCCTCATGGTTTGTCGAGTAGACAATAATTTATATTCATATATTAGTCTTACCATGGCAGAGATACTACGTGAAACCCTGAGAGGATTTGCGCGCGCAGCTGTCGCAAGCTGGGCTCTGTCCATCAGCCACAAACAAGAGTTAAGAGACACATCTTCGAACTGAAAAGGACAAAACAAAAGGTGGAAAATTTAACTTTCTTCCTTTTATTCCTTTTGACCTGACCGTTTAATGAGTGTTACGGAGCCCATTGGAAATTGCAGCAGAGAATTTAAATGTTAAGTTTCCAGCGGTTTTACACTTTTCTTGTGATCTTTTTAGTCCTGAAATTAAGGATTTCGACCATATTAAGATCTACCCATAAGTCTCTAAGGATTATGAAATCTCAGCACAGCGACAACTCAGATAGAAGTGCAGGGTTTTTAAGGCTCGAATGTTTTACATCAAACTAAGCGGTGTCTTTTATTAAAATCTAATTTGAATTCTACCTTATGAGAATTTGAGCTGAATCATTAGCAATAGCAACTGCACAGCAAATGTGCACTTCACAACTTACTGGACTCTTTGAAATAGTTTCTTACTCTAACGCTGGCTTGAATTCACGTAGTTCAAGTAAAATTAATCAAAGTGTTCGCATCTCATACCTGTCCTGGATCATATTTGCTGTATTTTCCCCTGAAAACTGTTAGTTATTGTAATAAGCTAAGTACTCAAGCGAAAGGGAGTTGGACTCATTTGTGGACTTTTAATGTTTACGTTTCGACTGTCAGTTGTAAAATAGGCATTGCTAGCTGTTTTGATCTCTGAGAAATTAAACTAGCCGCCAGCGCTTCAATAAATAATTTCCTTTTTGCTCTTTTTAATTAAATAAACATTACCAACAGTACACCCTATTGGGTGTTATTTACCGTTTATTTTATTTTTATTATTATTTTGTCTATAAAAACTCTTCGGATTGTTGCGCGAAACCGTTCGCCCGTCCATAATGAGTCGCTCTTCCACCTACAAATCTCATTGACCAAGGATTTGTCAACAAAGCAACTGATAAGTTGGTGGTCATCGACAAAAGCTAGAGTGTCCCTGGATGGATAAAGAGTCAAGTACTATTCTGTTGCCGTATGGAGTAATAATCAATTTGGTAGCCTCTCCATATCGACAATATATAGGGGCTTAACAACGACGACGGCGACGGTAACCAGAACGGCAAAAAAACAACAGGTTTGGATTGGCGAAACAACAATTTTGCACGTGTATCACGCCTTTTTGTACATTTCTTAGCCGTCGTTGCACGACGTGAAAGTGCAGAATAATTTCACGTTTTTTCGAGGACGTGAACACAAGACCACAACTTTCTTTGTCTTTTCTTGAATTTTGATAGAGTCCTTTAGAATTCAACTCCAAGGAAATTTGCCAACATGTGACGAATAAAACGAGATGGAACAAGCGCGATAAAGTTTGAGGCAGCGCGAATTCACTTTTTAAGTGACGTTTCCATAACCGTCGCCGTTGTCGTTGCTTATCCTAGCCGACACGAACCTGACCAAAGTTCCAAGGCATTCCACAGTGTTTCCTGGCTGTTCCAATCCAAATGCGCCCGCTTTCATTCAGTACGTACTCATCGCGCAAGGCCTCCTGGTCCAGATATACAGAATCCTCTGGCCAACGTATTCAAAGCAAATAAAACAATTTCATTAAACCTTGCCAGGGAAAACTAAGAAGCAACGAAAACTGTGAACGAGTAGAGAATGAATATACGCGAAAAAGACAAATGGAAAATAAACCAAATAAGTCAAATCAAAAGGAGGACTCTTTGTTTTGCAGCCAAAGACTTGCCTAAATTGAGCAAAGGTGATTGTCACACCAGTCGGTAACCCTATTTCTGGTGTCCCAAGTTTTTTTCGGCTAAGAATGCTGTGCGGTCATTAAAAAAGCCACGATCGGTTTGAGCCTGTTTGCTAAAACCTGCATTATTCATGTATGTTCGTCGTGCATAATCATTGTAAGACCAACGAATATCACATTACTACTAAATATAAGCAAAATTTGTCAATTTACTGACCTCTGCACCATGGATTAAACAACACAATGATATCTTCAGGATGCTGGTAACGATACTCCTCTGGCTTGTCTGAGCCTCGAATTGCGGTCTTCGTTTCGACATAGAGTTGATATTTTCCCACAACTGCATCCACTGCTGAAGTCACTTGAAGGCGCACACTTTCTTTATTGACTTGAGCGAGGTTCGCTGACCATGCTTTGTAAACCCTTTCTTTTGTGAGACTTATAGGCACCCGAATGACCGATCCTTTGCTTTGTTGAGGGCGGTACCCTGACAAATAAGAAAATAAAAAAAGACGCAAAGGGGTTCCACTACATAGTACCGCCAAAGCAGCTTGACGCCATTACAACGAATTTTGCTAAAATGGCTCAAATGGGACCAAAATAGGCTTAAACGGACTGTAGGGAATCAGCAAGCCCGGAGCACGAAATTTGACGAGTTAGCGCAATATAGGGTCTAACCACGGATCTTTTCTACTAATGCTATTAGCTCTCCTAAAGACCACGGTTTTCACAAGTCCTTGTGTACAGAATAAAGATTACAAGTACTGAATAGAACTGACAGAAAACTGTCTGGTCTCGTCTCCTAAGAAAGGTGTGAATAAGTTTTGAACAGTTCCATTGTGGCCTGTGTTATCTATCCAGCCATTCTCCCACAACTGCGGGAGAAAGTGTTTAACCCATTCACCCGCGATAGTTGTTACAGTGTGTTTACAACACGGCAATTATATATTATTCAACCTTATCTTTAGGGTTTCCTAGCCTCCCCTGACTTCAAGTCTGTAGAATCTGGGAAAAACGCTACTTACCAACAGCAAACTGTAGGGTGATGACGTCTCTCCTAGCGTCATAAGCTCTGTTAAATGTTACTGTGACGTCAAAGCTCTGTCCCCTCCTCACAATCAAGTTAGAATGCTCATACTTATCAGTGTGATGACTGCGACGATTGTCCTTCTCGTGCAAACTTATTTCTTTAGGTATCAGTTGATCGACTGCGAAATCAAAAGAAACTTATAGTCTAACGTTTGTATTGGTAAATCAACTCCTAATATCAACGTTCATGCCTTAATAAATAATGGTAATGGGACTGAGTGGATTCCAATTTGACTAGAAGCACGAGTATTACAGATCGAATTGTACGACACGAAGTACTGTTACCAATTAATCATAACCATAATAATATATTTTAGCCTTTTTTAAAACTAAAGCACAAGAAAATTCCGAGAGTGAAAAAAAGCCATTTAATCTCGCGCGCGTGATGGCCCGTACTGTCCAATAGGCATGACGGTTACTGTCCTATTACACGTGTCCTATTTATTTAAACCAGGATGGTTGATAGCCAATCAGATTTGAGAATTTTTTTATAGTTATGATTAACGTAATATTGTTTTAGCACGAGGTCTGAGTGGGACTAAAACGCACGTTCGTATCACGCCTGTCCTTAAGCTGGTTTTCACTAGCGCATAAGCATAAGTACAAGCACAGTCATGTTTAAGCAAGCGAAAACTGGGTCGACATAAGTATAAGAGTAGTAACCACAAGAAAAAAGGACAAGTTCGTTCTTCTCGTGTGTTTATGCTTATGCTTATGTCGAAGCGTTGACTAGTTAAAACGGGGTTGACATAAGCACAAGCATAAGAACGAGGCCCTGGACCAATCATAGGTCACTTTGACCCAGACCTCATGCGAACATATCAAAAGCAATGTGGCGGACGCTTCGTCCGCCATCTTGTTTATCATCGGGTTGGGGAGACCTGGTATCGAGAATTGTGTCAAATATGCCATTCTGCGCGTGCGTATGTCCTTATGCTTATGCGTATGCGCTAGTGAAAACCAGGCTTTATAGTCTATCCCATGGCCCGGCTCTGCAGGCATAACCTGTGCATAACCTTTTAAATCCTCCGGCTATATACTCATCGCGCCCTACTGCAGAAAAACTCTTATACTTTTTAGGATGTAATAGTTTTAGAACGTAAGGAACAAAGCTCGCTTTCCAATCTGTGTTCAACTTTTCGTGACGAAAGACAGATTTAAGTCGATGCTACCACGGTCCGTTTGAACGTTAACGTGGATGGTAAACAAAGAAGTAATTATGAACTTATTAACCAGAATCGAAAAGCTGATATCAGTCCAACGACAGAGAAATTAAAACTAACTTGACAGCATATCGATGATCAGATTTAAATGAAGATTGAATGAATGAAGCTTCATTTAATCTCGGGATTGATGAGGTTGGTTAGACCACTAGCAGTAATTAAATAAGCTAATAAGCCGAGGAAAAGCAAATAAATAAAATTATACATAGGTAAAAGGGAAAAGAAAAATTTATTTACTATATAAAGCCTACATTACGCAATATTGCAATTTACAGTAAAAAGCAAAACACCTGATAACGTGGCGAAAAGCTGGAATACACTCTCTTACCAGAATTTTGTTGGTCAGACTTCTTAAGCGCCTTATTTTTATCCATGAAGTCTTTATCCGAAGCAACATTTCTACGGCCTCCTACTTCATCGCAGCCTAGCATACGGTATCTTGCTCTCTCAGCTTCAGATCTAGTATGAAATACTTTTGATTACTGACAGATTAACTGAGAAATCGGCACATTCCATTCGTCGTGAGAAATGGCAGCGAAGGCCAACGCGCACGAGACAAGCTAAATTTTATAAAACCGTCAACCACAAACCTGATAATTTAAATCAAATCTACAGTTAATCTGAATCAAGATTTGACCAATGTTTACGTTAAGTTAAGTTCATAGCTGTCGCGCATACCTACTATCATGATCCTCAATTCGATTTCCTTGATTAAAATCTCTCTTTGCGTGGAAATATACTGACGTAGAGTAACCAACAATGGGTTTGAGGTAGATTAACCCGATCTGCGACTTGTACAATGAGTTACGGTAGTCTCTGCTATGAATACCAAGGACGTCATTTTTACCCGACCGTCGATTACGCTTTCTGATATCCGCACGCTTTTCAAGTTCGTCTTCGGAAACATCATCTTTAACTCGAACTGCTTTCAAAACGCCCGAGTTTAGGGTCCCTCGTCGCACGCTTTCGTATTGAACAACCGCAAAAGTTGTCATTTTAGCAGCGGCAGTAGTTAGAATGAAAGTTTTGGTTTGACTTAGACTTAGAATTGAAGTTAGCTTTCTCCACTGGTCTTTCAAAATAGTGGTATGTTTATGCGATAGTTTTAAGACTGGTTACTAAGCAGGAGGTATCTATTTATTTTCATTCTCTTCCCAGCTGTTTCAAGACAGTTTTCGACACTGTTGGCCTGTTCTCAAACATTTAAATTCTCAAATTCGTTTTTTTTTTTCACGATGAAACTACAGCGCTCTCGCTAAAAATTTTTTATACGACACCATTCTGTAGTTCCGCTCCTTGAGGCAGTAGGGAGAAAAATTCAGTCCTCTACATTCTTGTGTTGCACGCTAGACAAGACAAGGCATGACATTCAGCGGTCAAAGCTACCTGTGATGGAGTGCAGTGAGGTAATTGGCTGCGAGAAATAAATAATTCTGTGGTAGGCATGCAGTTTTAAGGACAAATATAATTTTCAGCCTAATTGTTTAAGCTTTGGGAAATTCTTTAGTTGAATTTATGTTGCGTTTATCCAAATTAAATTTGGTCAAGTTGACTTGAATTGATTCGTTAATTGAACATTTCTTTCGCTGTCTGATTGTCGAGGCGTATACCCAAAGCAATGTTCACAAGCCAAGAAATCGGGCTATTGTGGTTTTTCCCCACGAATGAACTTCCACTCCAAACCAAATATTTTAGCAAAAAATATTTATTCACCTGTGGTTCGCGTGTTTATCAGTTATGCTTTGGAATTTACTTACAGTATGCAATATCAATAGTAGAGTAACCGAAAAGCTTATCTCTGCAACGAACCAATAAGCCGCGGAAAGAAAAGCGTAAAAAGAAAAAAGAAATTGAATATACCTAGCGTCTTTAGGCGACTTAAAACCGCTACCACCGCAAATCCAGTCGTTGAATTTCTCCCGGGGTTGAAAATACAGGGTCACTGAATACCCCACTACTGGTTTCAAGTACACCAATCCAATCTGTGACTTGTGAACTGGAGTTTCATTTTCGTATCCATCCTTCTTAAGAATAGTCTCACTTATGCTTAAATCATGCTTTTCAGTTAAAACATCCATCTTTTCTCTCGAGTGCCAGCGTTCAAATGACTTTCGAAAATAAACATTTTTTCGATGTGATTTCGACATCTTTAAGCTACCTTAAGCGTTTCCTCTACTGGTGGCTTGTAAGAAAAATCTTTTTGAATATCATATAATCCTGTCACCGTTAAACAAAAGCTTTATTACTTCTAATTATAATGTTAGCAAATCCAAACTCCCGTTGTCAAACAAGCAGAAGCAAGCAGCTTTCGACTGTGTTCAATACCACAACCAGTTAGACGCCGTTGTTGTGAATTCTGATTGGTTTACGTGTAGTTAAGCTTTGAGGGTTACAAAATGAGAAGAAAGGAATTCAACAGCTGTTTCCTTAAAGCGTGGTTTATATAATTACAGAATATTAATCTGCTAAATCTTCTTCTCACTTTTAGCTGATTTAGAAATGAGTGAAGAAATTAAGTAAAGCTTCTGGAAAAAAAGATTTTTCATTTCTTTCTTTAAGCTTGCATTTGCACAGTGTTTTACGTGCTTGAGACTTACAGATAGCAATTGGGAGAGACTATAAGGACGTTAAAAGCTTGGCCATGAAAAGGACCAGAAAGGAAAAATGGTAAATGTTCTCATAGCCGAAAAAAGGTATCATTCTAATTACAATGCAGTACCGCGCAAGGACCATTTGGTCAAGCCTTATCTCATGTGTAGATCATGCAAATAGCAAAAATATTGAACAAACATGGCAAGGTCGTAATTACCTTAAAGAATTTTGACTGTTTTTTTGCCAATTTCTTATTAAGCATATGTCACCAAAACACTGAGTAGTAAAGAAATAAAACCACGCCGTCGCTGTCTATTCCGTTGCACTAAAAATCCATCTAAACCATATAAAAACAAGATTTTTTTCAATAAAAAAATTATTTATAAATAAGGCGAAGGGACTTATTATTCTAATCAGATTAAATTTGAATGGGCTATGATGATAGTAAAGGAAAAAATTTAACGCGACGTTTTCGCCCTTTTTATTTAAAGCAAATTATTTTCTCTTCACTTGTTTTCTAAGGGGGTCTTCATATGAGCCGGTCGGGTTAGCGGGACCAATCTGAATCCCCACATGGTTACCGGCTATACGAGATTTCAGCCTGGTTACTGATTCGTATATACAGTATGTATTATTGATCAGGCTTGTTAGGTTAACCCTCGGACTTCTTACGTTAACCCTCGGACTTGGGGTGGGAGGGGGGGTTGCTCGTGCTTGCCATCCCCCTCTGGAGGTTTTTAATTGAGTTTATTTTCCTAGGCGATAAAACATCAGCACCTGACGTTTTCAGTAGCTGATCGTTAATCCCGCGCGTGCATTTTGAGACACGTTTAATGATAGTCAGTGTCATATGGTTACGAGATATGACGTCATAAGTAGCAGGTGGTCAAGCCATTTTTGAGTAAAAATGCAAGTTTTTCAACTTCTTTCAACAATAACACTAAAGCTTTTAGATGAAATGATGCAAAGTGCTTATTTATGTGTTACTTTACATGTCAAGTACATATCGCGGTTTTAACCTGATTTCTAATTCTTGGTAAAATCCAAGATGGCGACCATTTTTGGTGACGTCACAGACCTTCAGCAGCACCCCCCATAAAATTTACCTCATCCTTTTGAAAAGATCAAAGGCTTTCCACTGAAGGCAAAATCGTCTCAAAATACTGCAACATATCAAAAACTCAGGGTAGGGGTTCCAATACCCTCCCCCCCTTGTATTACGGTGGGAGTATGAATTTGCGGGTACGTCCGAGGATTAAGATCGCTAGATATTGGCCAGGTTCGTTTTTCCCGAAGCTATCAACCGAGATGAAGAAAAGGGTAAATAAAAAAGCGAAAAAAAAAAAAAATTATATCCAGCTATCTGACTGAAAGAGCTTCACTGGTCAATAATTTATTATATGGTAAAGAGCGAACTTTTTCTTTTGGGACCAATGGCGGCGAGAAATCCAAAAGGGGCCAAGCTGGGCCCATTAGCCCGATTTTTAATACATATTAGCACCATCATTAAACATTTTAACAAAGGGAAGCCGAGTTGTGAAAAAGAAAATAAAACAAAAGCTAGGAAACTCAGCAAATATCACGTAAAATTGCCTAAATATCTTTCCGGAAATTCTCAAAAAAAAATGTCTAAATATCCCCAAAGATTCTCGAAAAATCCTCTAGATATATCAATATATATATCGTACTTTTGTTTTAAAAATAAGCCGAAACAACATGGATGCAAAGTTTAATGTTTTCTCACTAATGGGTTAAACCTGAGTTGGTATGTCTATCAAGAACGCGACTATGACTAAGACTGAGTAACAATCCTTCTTATTAATACACATATCCGCTCTACTTTAAGAGAATAAAATGCAACCTGAGGAAACCCCTGACACTGAAAACTTAACAACAGGCGGAAACATCCTATACCGACTTTGAACCATGTGACCGTAAATTGGCGTACACTCTAGTGATATGGAATACATTATTCAAGGGGGAAACCGCTGAACTGGATTATAATGATAGAACGGAGTATTCTGTCAAGAAAATAGCGAGGAAAAGCTGGAAAACAGCCAAAAAAAGCTTTAAATTTTTCTAAATATCCCCAAATTTTCTAAATATCTTTAAATTTTCTCATATCCTAGCCTAGTCCTTCCCGAGAAAAAAACGGGGAGAATCGCGGGCTCATTTCACGATCAGCGTCTAATAATCGAGTCTAAGTTTCCCAGGGCTAATATGAACAGGCTCTAATATATTGTTAGAATCAAAGTTACCTCGGAACACTGCCTGGACTGGAGGCTACAGTGCGAAAAGCAACAGAAGAATACCTTTCGGAACTCGGAAACGTTCGTGATGAATATGAGCTGGCTCTTGAGGGTTCCGTAGACCTGGTATACTCAAATGGCCGTCCTGACAAAGTATATGACGAAGTCCTGAAATACCGCAAAAACAAATTGCACTTTGACAGTTAATGATCATGATCACTTAATATATAAATCTATATTTTAGCCCACAGCCGCATGAGATATATGACGCTTTTAACCATATATACTTTGGCTAGAATGACATTCAATTTGCAAGCTCTACGTGTTTTTCAGTAGCTATCTGGTAATTCTGGTATCCCGCAGATGCTTTGTCCAATGCATTGAATGACTAAAATGTCTAATTGACACTGCTAGATCAGAATCATGTGGTTTTATGCAAACGTTGACCTGTAGTATTCTCAATTAAAACCATAAAAGTTTAAGCCATGAGTGTTTCCCAGCAAGCAATATAGCTAATATCTATCTCTCGTGTATTCACCAGGCTTAAATTTACCATCACTTTTCTATCATTGTGCATAAGCACTTATCGACGTTCCAGTCCTAGGATGTTTCTCACACTGTGAGCCTAGTTTAGCGACGTCACTTCAATCCTAGTAGTCTGATCTAGTGAAGCTTAGTAGAGAGTTCAAGCATCACGTATACGGCAAACGGCAAACATCAGATTCAAGTTGAGGATTTTTCAAAATAGAAAATTAGCAGATGAAATCAGCTAAAAACAATTGCGTGAAACTACTATTTTATGTGTTTAAATAATGAACAGCAAACAACAAGTAAAGGGGAAAGTTGGTCGCATGGGGGCGAATTCGCGTTTGCTGTCAAGGATGGAAGCGAGGGTGAGGGTGACCTTGTTTTGATACAAACCTTCTTTGCTTTGTTATGGAAATTGTTCTTGAAAAATACTAGTTAGCATAAGAATAACTTGATTTACATAATAAAGCAGGAAGGTTTGTATCAAAACAAGGTCACCCTCAGCCTCGCTTCCATCCATAACTGTAAAATGGCCTGTTCGCGTTTGCTGTTAAGGAGTAAACGTGATGCTTAACCTCTCTTAAATGACGGAGCGTCTGAAAACCAGAAAGTTATAGGTTCGAGCTCTGTCGGGAATACTCGGATTTTTCTTCCAAAATAGACTGTTCTAGGCGTTCAGATGGTGGGGAGTGAGTTCAATTGTACGAGGGATTTTTTTCCTTTCAATTTTTCGCCTGCGCTCTATTATCTGAAAGCCTGGAACAGACTATCTTCCAAGCGGCCTCACAGTGTCACTGACCTAAAAATTACTTTTCTTATATATTCACCAAGCTTAAAATTCTCCATTAAGTTTGTATCATTGCGCATACCGTAAGCACATATCGATATTCGTGCTCTAGCAGTCTGCAGGACGTTTTTGTTCATGAACCTAGTTTTAATTAGTGCTGTTAGCTGCCACGAGTCTTCTGTGGCCCAGTAGTAGAGCATCGATCTGGACGAGAACCAGGTCAAAAGGTCAAAGGTTCGACTCCTATTGCTAGTAATTTTTTTTTCCAAGCCGCATGTGCAACTGACTGAAAATCGCTTTTCTAGACTTTTCCACTGCTTAATATTTATCGTACATAATTATGCCCCTACGTACCTTGGACTTTGATAACTTGTTGAAGTTCTTGTTGTAGTGCTTGTTGTAGTGTTGTTACTTGGCCTTGTTGTGTTGTCGGTCGCCGGTGATGGTTGGGCAGTATAACTGCGAGAATATGGCGTCACATTTGAGAAGGCAGCCGCTGGCCCTGTAGATTCATTCTTTGGCTCACTGTAATCATACTCCCGCCCTGATCTTAAAAGATACGCCCTGTGAATAAATTAATAAATTCCAGTGCTGATTATGACGCTTATATTGCACTGCATCTTGTCACACGAACTACAGTTAGGAAAATAAATTAACCGAATGGTAGTGTTTCAAAAAGAGTATCCTTTGTAGTTTCGACTAGGGCCAAAATTGCTAGCTCGATATTTTTACAAAAGTTAGAACTCTTTGTTAGAAAAGATAGTTAACATCAAATCGGCTGATTTTTTTATTATTGAATTAGGTGATTCTAAAATGAAAATACTTGCACTGAATTTTGATCAGAGAAAGAATTAAACTTCCAAGAAAAAGGAAGGAAAAATCTGTTGATTTGGGAGTTTTCAATACAGCCAGGCACCTTCGACTTGCTGTTGTGGAAAGGGTTCCTGAGGACTTCATTTTAAACCGAAGAGGAATAAATTTTGAGAACCAAATGGGAACAGTTTGACAACCCTTACATAATCAGTTCATCTTACCCCTTGCAAGTGGCAGGATAGAAAAACAATATCAATTTGGCAGAAATGACCTCTTTTGAAGGCCCTGGTAGCACTTGAAAACTCAGACTTACATTTAACTTTGTATTTTTCTTTCATTTTCCTAAGGAAAAAGCAATTCTTTATAATCTCCTTCAGATATAATTAATATAATTAATGTCAACTTATTCTCTGTAGAATCGTTTAATCCTTCCATGGCATAATTACTGTACAATCAGAATAACTCTGCCATAACTCACAACCATCTTTTAAAAGGAGGATATAGTTTTTTTTGAGCAAATCATCTACGACTACATTCATTTGGTTAAATAATGAATAGTAATCTACTTTCGGATAATATATTTTTACTGCTTTACACCTGTGCGAGATATAAATCTAATATACATAAGGGTATAGTATATTGTGTTGTCTTGATCGATTTTAGGCTTTTGAGCATTTATTATTAGTATATATAAATAAACCGTGTGGCGCGAAATTATTGCGGGTTTTTAAATGTTTGGAATTTTTGCGATTTTTCCAGCTATCCGGTTAAAATTGAGTTCCCAAAAATTTATTACCGCAAACATTTTTCCCGCAAAAATTTACTTCAGAGTGAATATTCCTAAGCTTAAACTCGCCACACAAAAATGCAGTACTTTAAAGCAATTGTATCCGTTCAATTACAACTTGTCTCTTTCTTTCAGAAATAAAGTGATTAATAAAAATGATCCATGAGCAAAACTTTCATTGGTTTTTGCCGGGTTACGCCCACTGTGGTATTGTTTATGTATCTTCTTTGCACGTACTCAATCAAAAAACGACAATATTATCAATAATTTGTCCGGGACTTTCTGAAAAACGAAAAAATTAACTCCCAGCAAGAAAAACCAATCTGTCCTAATCGCAAAAATTAGTTCCGCCAAAATACCAAAAAAAATTGCCAATCCGCAAATGAAAATAAACGCCCGCAAAAGTTTCGTAGCACACGATATTGGGCAAAATCAGTTTGAGATAATCTTAACTTAATAGACAATCGAGCCGCAAAAAAGGTAGTCAATCTTAAAAAAATCAGAACAGATCCTAAAATTTTAGTGACTCTGTTCCGGCTAGATTTGACCACAAACTGATACAAAATGTACTATAACTGAATTGTTTGAAGAAATGAAAACTAAAGACTTTCTTTCCTCAACGATGAATAACAAAACATTAACTGAAAGAAAGGGGAAAAGGGAAAAGGAATCGCTTGAATGTACAATTTTGCGGTCCGCCATGATAATATTTCTTTAAGCCTTATTAATGGCAATGGTTCGGTTAAAATTCGACAAATTTACTTTCTGGGCCTTACTCTTAATTAGCTGGATGCTCAGTAGCGAACATATAAAACGTTTATCAGAGCATAGCGTGTAGTTTCTCACCATATTAAAGCGGCCAGTTCGCACAAAATGATTGATCCAACAGGAACTTGCAAAGTTCTTCTTATACTAATAAATTTATGACTCACACGATTACCTTGATGAGGCGCCCCCAGCTTGAGCTGATGATGTTTCAGGAACGCGAGCTACAGAACTAATGACTCCGCTAGCCGATGAGCTGGCACTTGGACAGGTTGAACTTAAAGTTGTTGAGATTGGCTGAGAAGCATAGCGTGAGCTATTTAAAGATGAATAAACCGAAGATGACAAAGGTTCAGTGCCTCTGGTGTAATCATCTGCTGATCGCCTTGTACCTGCTGTGGAATAACCCGCAGATCTATTATAATAAGGAACGCTTGAACGATACATCGGCGCTATGATCTTATCTTGCAACTAAACACTCCCAGAAGCTCAGCGTCTTCTAAATTCAATTATAATATAATGTGAAGAGTAAAGACTAAAAAAGGTCTCGTTTAATTTTGTAAACGAAATCTATATCACTTGCTTGGTCCAATGCATTAGTTTACGCCAATGAGCATTGAGAATCTGTTTACTGAAATATAGTGAACAAGTACTTTTGAGAGAACTTTTTTTAAAGTCATTATGAGTTGCTAAAAGTAATCCTATCACTAAACTAATCCCACTTAACGATAAATATTATTCAGACTAAAATTATCTCTAAAACTAGGTAAGTTTTGTCTCTGCTGGGGTACGTAGAAATTAAGCGTATAGATACCGAAGAAAACAAAAGCAGGGAGTGAAACTAAGGAAGTTCATGTTGGCCGGAAAATCTATGTTAGCACGTGCCAATAATATCGAGGTACTTGCATGTAACCGCTCGGGTGAACCTAAACAATGTGCAACTGTATCAAGCATATATCAAACGAATGAAAGAAACTTTTGGTTTCGCTCTGACCGGAAAGTTTTGAAGGTATTAATCTATTCAGTTGAAAAAATGAAGTAAGATAGGCGAAAACCACTATATCAAAAGCGAAAGAGTTTTTGAAAGTGATTGTTGATCAACAGGTCTCAGACCGAAGTCAATTCTATCACAAAATAAGCGAACTATTAATTAAACTTCTATCAAGAACTCTGGGCTGTAAATGTATGTCATTTTAAGTTCGTTCATCCGGCGCGATGTGTGATTAACATCTCGAGCAATAATCAGTTCAGTTACTCTTAGCGGGAGACAGAACAGAACATTTCTGATACTTTTAAGCCGCTATACTCAAAAACGAAGTTTGCAGTCATTTCTAGCTTAATTAAACGATGACAGCGACAAATAATAAACCTTTTCGAATTATACTAAAAAAACGTATTTTTAGGGAAACAATTTCTTAAGAACAAACCATGCTAAGTTTTCTTTTAAGTTAGGGTTCTCAGAATTCTTGCACAACCAGTTAGCATTTGAAAACATCATGACCATGGCATGCTATGCGTACAATATATGCCAAGCGATGGCTCAGTGAAATAATGAACAAGCTCCTTTTCTAATCTCTGTGCCGTGGAAGCTGACGAAGGTTATTAAAGTTTAGCAAATTGTCCGAGAAGCAAAGTCGGAACTTGTGTCGGTTGTTAACGTCATTTGCCTTGTGTTGTCGCAAATCACAAAATAAATAGTCATATAAAAAGGTGGCTGAAAGAGTAAGTGAAACAATGAAACAGGAAGCCATGATAGTATTAATTTTTCTAATAAATAAAGGTAAAAGCAGTGCCGTTTAAAGAATGGTGAAATGTTAAACACCTGTTTCTTCTTTTGTGAGTTGTCTGTCCATCAACCATTAACACTAACTTACTAAGCACAATATAAAGAGGCGGTTTCTAATTTTTAGAGTGAACCTATCTCTTCAGTACAAGACGAAGCAATCAAGCATCGTATATGTACACTTAAATGGTAATTTGACGATGACGAATGCAGCAAATGGCTGATTTTTGAAGTTGCCGAGTCAGTTTTTCCTGTTCTAACTTCTAAGACTGACTTTTAAACATAAGGGTGATCATACAATTAGACTAAAGAATAAAACGAAACTTCATCAGAGAACACAGCTAGAATTAGAATGAGTATAGAAGGAACTAAATTCATTTGAATTCAACTGATACATGAAAGCACCTGCTTCCATAAAAGATTTAATCGTTTTCTTTGCTATAATGCACAATACACAGGTGCGGTTTGTAAAAATGCTCCGAGTCATACAACGCTCACTGATTTTTCTTGTTCCTGTGACGTCTCCAGGCAATTAAGCTCGAACTTTGATCAAACAGAAAGACAAATATTTAAAGCTGTTATATTCAGGAAATCATTATCTGAAGTTGAATTTTTAGGTAATCACTGAAGCCAGGGGCCATCTACCAACAATTTGTCGCAACATTCTAGAGCTCTCCAGCATTCCTGCCAATGCTGTGAGCTTCAGTTGACCATATCTATTTAGTGGGAAACCGTCAGATTAATCACGGTAGAAGACGTAGACGTAGAAGCCTGCTTTGTGTACTTATGTCAGAGGTCTGTAGTATGGACGATTTCACGCGCGATTTTTGCTCCTTCAAAGGAGCAAAAAAAGGTTTATAATCGAAGACTGAAAAATCTTTGACCAAAGAGATGCTTTAGGCACTGATGTAAATTCATCAAAATCTGCGTTACCAGCGGTAGTTATATACTCATAATGCGTGTTTACTGTCTCATTCGTACTTTTAAAGTAGTTTTAAACTTGAAAAACCTGACCAAGACTTATTAAGTTTTGCCTTTTTGTCGAATGTCTTTCCGTCTCTTAAAAAGAATTGCACTTGTAAAATGTGTCGGTAAGAAAGACTACTGGATAGCGCTGGAAGTTAGAACAAGTTAAAAAATGCTGAACTGTCATTGAGAAAGTGGTCAATGACAGTGAAGTTCTTTCGTCTTTAATGTTGAACTGCATGAATATATGTTTGAAGTTTCAACTTGGATTCTGAAACCTTTTTTTTAATTAGCCACCCACCGTTCAGGAAAAGAGTTCTCTCCTATGCAAACCGTTCAGTTGCAACTGAAGAAATATAGTCGCACTATATATTCAACCAAGTAAAAATGAATATTTACTACCGCCAGGAGAGATCTTGACTAAAACACCACACGTACGGGTACATACAGATAAGATACAAGTGACACATTCCGATACATAAGGAGACATACGAATACATACGAGTTACATCTGCAAGTAACATACGGGTAAACTGCACAGATGGTAAATAACACACTCATAATACATGCGAATTACATACAGGTAATACGTAGCTGATATACACGAAGTTTAGTCCTTAATATACAGTAGATTTTTTTAATCGTTAACGATCACAAAATTAAAGGCGGTATCATCATTATTAGCGGTATTAATCTTGGATCACGCAATATAAGTACCTTGATGAGTTTAAGAAATTAAAAAATCGGTGTTATTGTTAGATCGCGAACCATTTAAACGCCCCCCTCCTTACCAGTCTCTAACAAGCAGTGGAAGTGATCATGAACCTGTTCCTGTTGGTAAACCATGATCACATGATAGGGGAAAAAAATATCAATACAATATCAAACTACCGGTCGGTAATTGGCATGAATCATTTAAATTACATATTGATTGTTTAGAAATTGTTTCAAATTCTTAGAGCGTGGCTGCATGGTTTACTTAATAACTTGGGTTACTTTTTTCATTCGTACAAATTCAGTCTGAATTCTCAATTCTCAATTCAGATTTTGTGAGACAATTTTGTTGCGGAGAATATTCTTTCACGTCACATATACACAGACGAAGCGCGAATTTGTTGCTGAGACCATACAAAAGTTAGTAACTTTGCTGAGACGAATTGCTGGACGTGTTGCTACAACTTGACGCCAAGTGAGTTGCAACGTTTACTGACTCCTCAGACTGAAATTAACACTACAGTTCGGAAGTCAGCTTGTAATGGTGGCTTTCTCATTGAGAATACATTTCTCTTTAGAATCCTACGCATGCAAAGGGGTCTAGGCAGTCAAGCATGGTAAAAATATGGCCAGATGGTAATTTGACCGAAAAACGGATACGGCAAACATTAGTCAGTTGTGGATCATTCACCTAGCCTCTATAGTTACAGAAAATAAGAATGAAGCATAATTACTTGAGACAAGTTACCAACGGTTTGAGTATTTACGAGTAGAAAGACGTAAAATAAATAAATAAATAAATAGCACACTTATCTTCTGTCAACTGAGCTCAAAACGATTTTGCTCTTAATTCGTAGTACAAAGGTGCGGTCAGCAAGGCATAAGTTCCGAATTCTGTTCCGTTGGCTGATTTTAATTTCCTCATACCTGTGACGTGTACTAAATAGCTCGAACTTTGATCAAAACAGGAACACACTAGTTAGTATTCAGGAAATCATTAGATGACGCTAAACGTTTAGGTAATCGCATATATATCACAGAAATCTTCTTGTCAGTGGACGTTTTCGTCATTTTTGCGTCGTGCAGCTTCGGGTAAAGAGGTTCTTTCCTTTCTCTTGGTAAGTACATAATTATATGACGTTCATCAAAAGACTAACCAGTACTTGTTACATACTCATGATTCATGTTTACTGTCTTAGTATTTTGATGATTTCGGAAGTTTTGGCTGGCCTGAGACTCATACTAGGCTTTGATTCTCGGATTATTTTGTAAACTTAGTCAATATCAACAGAGCTAGTACTTCACCCTTCGCCTAGTGCAGGTGAATAACAAACATGGAATAGTTGCTGTTTTATACCGCATCTCTCAGCTGGGTAATAGGCGTACTGTGATTAGTTAATATATGTATTTACTGTATACGGCCCGCTAAAATCAGGAAAGAGTTTCATTTTTGTTTTCTCTCAATAAAAGTAGGGGTGTTGTGATTGTATGGTCACTATTTGCAGGCCTTTATCCTACCTTATGGAAAAAGTAGAAAGACAATTTATTTTACCTGACGCAGGAACTCACCTGCTTCCATAAAACAGATTTCGCAGTTATATGCTTAGTACGAAGGTGAGGTTTTATAAGAATGTTCTGAATCGTCTCCCTTTTCTTTGATTTTCCTCATACCTCTGACGTGTATAGAACTGAATAGATTAGCTCAAATTTTGTTCAAAACAGAAAAAACAATTATTGTATAATTAGGTGATCAGAAGTGAACGTGGGTTTGGGTTATCATTGAAACTTGCTTCTGAACACAGCTTCGTCATTTTTGCTTCGTTAGGAAAGTGCATATAAATTCTTCAAGATATACGTAACCATGTAGCCGCATCTCTACTACTGTTTTTATTCTGATTTCGAATTCGAAAAATTAAAACTTTGAAAGGCGACCAAAGGTTTACCAAAGTTTTAGTCTCTCTTTTCTAATTTAATTTCCCGTTTC